GTTCTGAGCTTGGCCTCCTGAACGCCGCTCTTGTCGAGGACCAGGGAGGGCGGTGGTCTTGCCTGCCGAGTCCCACCAGAGGGGCCGCTCACCATCAGGCACCTGCGGTGATCACCTCTCAGCAGGTTTTCCACATCATCCATCTGGGCTAACTTCCCGGGATGCTTTCTCTTCTCTCTCGTCCCAGATCTCCGAGGACCCCTACCCCCCGCACCACCAGTAATCAGTACGTTACTGGTTCCCTCCTGCCTGTGGACCCTCCTTCCCAAAACTGTCCTCTCTCCCTCCCTGACAGAATGTGCACAAAAGTGCGCAAACTCTATAACCTTGAATCTCACCTCCTTCCTGACGGATCTGCTTCCGCAGGGAGTGGAGGCCGCCGACTCCAGGTAGGGTGGCACCCAGGGCCTGGGTCATCTGGGGAGTCATCTGGATATGCTCAGGAAGTCACAGAAACCAATTCTCCGTGTCTCACGCATAAGTCACCCCCAGTATTTGTTAAATGATTGGCCGCGGGGATAGGTGGATGGTTGAAAGTTTGAGTGTGTCACCCATCACTTCCATTCCTGACTTTTAGGTGATACGTTGCGAATGTTCATGGTGACACATACGTGGCTTCTGTAGTTAACAAGAAGGACCAGGAGGGCTTGACGCCTTCTACGTGTGATCATCTTTTGTGTGGAGTGCCATACTGGGGAGGGTGGTGCCAGCCACCATAACAAACGAATGACAGGATTTCAATGGGCTAGTGTCATAAATGTTTATTTCCTGCCATGAAGCAGCCCAGTCCGTTCAGCTGTCCCTAACGGTCAGTGGCTTCCTTCCCGTGGTGACTGAGGTCTGGGGCCATCCTCTGGAGCCTCAGAGCCCTCTTCAGCCAGCCAGCAGGGCAAGAGAGAGTGGGCAGGGCACACACGCTTCTTGAGGAAACCTGGCTGGGACATGACAGGCGTCTCCCCTGCTCATAGTCCAGCAGCAGCAGGCGGTCACCGGACACCTGGGGTGCAGGGTGGGCAGAGGAATGAGGTCCCTGGCTGGATCACCGCCTCTTTCCTAAGCTCAAATTCATGCACAAGCTGTCGGTGAATAGCTACCATCTCTCCTGTTTAACTTCAAAAGAAGTACAAAGCGATCAGCAAAGATTATCTTTACTGAGAACGCCCAGTGCTGTTTTGAAAAGAGTGTACTCCCATGTATTGCTTCTAACTGATAACACTTTTTTTTGTTCCAATTTCAAACTGCTCTATTTAGATAGCAATTTGGCAATATGTGTTAAATGATGTGTTATGCGTAAGACACTCAGTTTTTCCTCTTGGGATTCAGCCACCCTTCTGAGAATCCACGCTAAGATGGTATTCCAAAATATAAGATGTTGACCATAGAGTTATTTATAGCAACAAAAAAAAATCGGAAAAAAATAGTGGAAACTTACTACTAAGAGAACAGATCATTATATTTGTAAACATTTGTCCAGTGGCATGTTTGTGTAGCCATTGAAATATTTGTAAAGTGTTAAACAATGTTTGTTATAAAGCTTTATTTTTTTAGAGCAAGTTATAAAATTTTAAGAGCAGTATTATCTCAGTGGAAAAAAGGAAACAAGTAGAACAGGGCCGACTGTACTAAATGCAGCCGAGGCCGCTTCTAGGACGTAGCATGTGTGTGACAGACACAGCTTTTCCCTGATATTTTTTCTCCTTAAGGCTTCTAGGTGGTGGGCTAAGATAATTTCTCTCTTTGTTTTTTCCATACTATTCAGATTTTCTAAAATCAGTGTATGTTATAGCTTTACACTCAGATTTAAAAATAAAATTGGAGGGTAAAGGGAATGACCTCCTACAAGACGGATATGACTCAGCAGAATTTGGTTGCATCCTTGGAGTAAGTGCTCCCCACGCTCCCATCCCCCGTGTCCTTGGCTGTTTTCCCTTCTTGGTCTTGGCAACCGACGGCTTTTGATGCTCCCTGTAACAGCCCCTGGTGAACTCCTACCAGCTGAGCCTTCTCCTCCCACACTGCTCTTTGCTGCTGTATCACTTGCTATTTCCTGGTAATGACACTACCTGCTCAGAATTTCAGGTCTGACGGACGCTGTGAAATCCTAAGAATAAAATGGTGAGAGCAGTTCTTTCAAGGAGGCTGATCTGGAGCAGGGGGTCTGGTAGAAGGGCGTGGGATAAAGCCCGCTCGATTCTCTACCTCCTTTATGTGAGTGCGAAACACAGACTCCCCACACCTGCAGGACTCTTTGGCAGCCTATGAGCTCTCTGGATGCAGCAACTGCATCGTCTTGGTTTCTCCAGAGCCTAACGGAGTCCTGGTGCATAATCGGCACTTAATAAACGTTTTAAGCGAGTAAACGACTAAGTGAATAGAAGGAAGGGTGAGGAACTGTTTAATGATGGCGATGGCTAGCCACTAATGGAGATCGGCCGGTCAATGAATATTTATGTGCCACTGTGCTTGAAGCTAGATTGCAAGACACTGTAGTAGGGAAAAAGTAGATTGGTGCATCCACTGGACTTTTCATCCAGTGTAAATATGAAGGTTTGGGAATCTGTGAAGCCCTTTTAAGATGCATTTGGATTATCCAGCTAGTGCTAACTGAAGGTTACATGGTCCTAGGGCTACGGATCTGGATTAACCATAGTTGGACAGACCAGGCATAGTCTGGTCGTTGTTTGGTCAGGTGGTATGTCAGGGTCCAATGGTCATTGATAGGGTCAGCACGCAATGTCAAAGGTGAGCGACAGCTTGCCTGGAGTCCATGGGTGTAGCGACCAACTGGGACCAGCACTGAAGATGCCACTGACTTTCAGTATGGCAACGAGACAAAAATGGACACTTTCCACCTCTCCACACCCTCTGGACTTAACTCAGCTACCTGGATTTCCCTAATTAGGTCGACAGTCCTTCTAAGAAGTCTTTTTTGCTGCACAGGCTGGGAATCTGAATGCCCTAGGGGCTCTGGACCTTCTCAAAGCCGGTGCTCCCCTCCGGGATGGGCGGTGCCTTGTCAGGGACTCCTTCTGGACTGCTGGGGACAATGGTGCCCACATTCAGAGCCTCATAGGTGTGCCCTGTGGAGGAGTCTGGCTGCATCCCTGGGCCTGGAATTCTGTGTGCATCCTGTCTTTTATTGGCAGCAGCTCTCATAACCAGTGCAGAAGGAGTGTTTACTCAAGAAGCCAGGTGTGACATCTGTTGTCTTGAAAGCATGCAAAAGATGGGAAATAAATACTCCTTTTAAAAATTTCTCCTCAATCAGGAGCTTAAAGGTAACTAACTACTAGAATCAATGACCCTCTTAAAAAATACACAGAAATTCCTAATTCCACTTTCATTGTCTTTTATTAATCCAGGTTTCACTAACAGTCAACCTTCTAAATAGTAAACCTAGGGATTTCTGGCTCTAAGGGGTATCCGTTTCATAGCTACTGTTGCTGCAGGGTGTGTTTTCTCAATCTGTGTTGATTAGAACCCTTTTCAATTTTAGCATTTTCCTGGGTCAGAACCTCCACTGATTTTACTTGTCACTATATAGTTCTGGTGGCCCCTGTGTGAACTCTCATTCTTCATTCATTCAGAATACTACAGAATCACGTCTACAAAATCATACATTTTAAAATACAATAATTACTTAAGGGAAAATCATAGGTCCTGTCAAATCGCCCATCACTTCCCTTCTTTTCATACGGAGAATTTTTCTGCAGAAGTCCACCAGCACCAACAAAAATATCTGAAGTATGTTAGTGATCATTGTGTTGCCCAAATTTAACAAAAAACAAAAATAATCCAAACAAATATAATCTTTTCCCTCAGCAAGGTCAACAATTTTAGACAAATCCATGGACATATTGTAGCTTAATACTAGGGAAACTTTGGCTTGTCTTACTGACAAACTTTTATTGACAAAAAATAGTATCTTTCAAAGATACAAATCTCAGGAGGATCTTATTTAAGATTGACTCAATAGAGTAAATCAAAAGAGTGGTCAGAAATTGTGTAATTTCAAACCAATGAAGATGACTCGATGCTGGGCAAGGAAAACAAGGTAGGGGAGGACAGAAAGAGGACTTTTTAAACGAATGCAGACGAAGGAGCACCGAGCCTTACCCAGGGCGGCCTGGGGGAGGAAGGCACCTGCAGGGTCCAGTCCCGAGGGGTCCACTGAGAC